TCAAATCAGAATATTGTGCGATACAGTGCTAGAAGATAAGTGTGTGTGCATACACCCACAACACACACACACACACACACACACACACACACGGACTGCATCCCAGATTGGAAAGGACTCAAAGTAGGACTGAGGAGGAAATGCCTTCTTAAAGTAGAATAAATCTTAATGATGCCGATAGAAAAAAGCTTTGAGGAGGTCATGATTTGCTGGTATGGCATGACTCAAAATGAGAAATAACAAGATAAAACATCCATTAATGATCAATATACGGAATATGTAAAGTAAGATGGTGTAGGACTGAGTAACACTCCTTCTGTTATATGTAGGTCTCTATGAGTTGGAGACTTGCTTTTATCAAATAGCCACGTATAGAAAAGATAGAGGGTAATATACCTATACAATAAGCTTTTCTCTAAGGAAAGCTCAGAGAGCATGACTCCATTGAAAATATATTATGCCATAAAATCAAGTCATTGCTATCCTTATTTGGGAGCTCATGGAGAAATAAGTCTCTATAAGGTTATATCATAAGTACAGATAATAGAAAGCATCTTGGATAGGTCACACGCAAAAGAAGCCATAATTCTCTCATAAGGGGGAACATTCACATTACGAGTAGCCTTTTTAGTAAGAGACGCATTGAGTGCACCATGCACTTGAAGATACCATGCCAAGGAGAACTGAGTCTCCATGCAAGTTGTCCTTTTGATTTAAAGTTGCAATACCTTCGCTGACTGCAATTCTATACGGCATTATATTTCAGGAACACAAGGCTCTAAGTTGACCTCAGGCCACACAGCAATAAGTATCTCAGCCTCATGACTGCAAATATCCTGTTTCATGCAAAGCAACATGAATAGTGTTAAGACATCACCAGCATCAAATCAGGAGTGCTGAATTCTAGACTGGGAGTGGCCGCTCCCTAACCTTGAGTAAGTCCTAGAACCCCCTGTGTTCTCCCACAAGCTGCTTAAATTAGAAGATGATCTCTCAGTCTTCCGCCAGAAGGCATTCCGGCTGGCTATAAGCAGGGTCGACAGATGTCAACGTTTTCAGCCAATGGCTACAACTAAGGCTCTCTCCCCTCTCCTGTGCTCTTCCATCTCTGAGTAGACCCGGTCTTCCTTCACTTTTCTTTGCCCTGCCTTTCCTCCTGCTGCCAATGTCCCACAGTCCTTTACCGCCAACACAGAATTTTCTCCAGTGGTGAGTCACAAGCACTGAACATTACTGTGTTTTTCCCCAAACAATGTGTCCAGTAAATGCCATGCACATGCATGGGATGTGCATAGTGCTTTTAGGGAATTCACACAAAATTGAGGGTCACGTGGTTCCCTAAAAGCTGCTAACATGCTCATTATTTGCATAAAGATATGGTACTCTAGTGCCAGACCCCAGATTGAGCATTTTCTATTCAGTTTCTCATTTAATCCTCATAACTAGTTCATGAAATGTATGTAGCCAAGTCTTTATGTGACCATAGGAAATATGTAATACTGTTTGCTTTCTATTTTTATTTTATCAATCAGGAACCCGGTTTGGCTTGGCTTTCACTCCACCTGCGACTTCTATTTTCCAGTGTGTACAAGAGAATAATCATGCCAAAACTCTCACTGCCATCGAATCAATTCACACTCGGAGAGGACAAAGAGAACTAGTCCCCTGCAGGACAGACTGGAACTACCTGCCCCTGCGGGTTTCTGAGGCTGAAAGTCTCTATGGGAGCAGAAAGTTGCATCTTTCTCTGAGGGGGCGGACCGATGACCTGTAATTAGCAGGTCAATGTGTATCCCGCTAGGCCCAGGGACTCCTTACAATAATCGTTCAGCACCTTAAATGAGGTCGTGGGCTCTCTGGACTAAGGATAAAAGAATCCGATTGGGGGTCTCCTCACAATGTGTCGGCTCATTGCTCCTCTTCATGAGTCTCAGAGAAGCCCTTAAGTGTGGCTGCTAACGTCGCTGCATCGATCGCAGGTTCCAGGGTTGGAGCAGCAGCCAGAGTGGCTGTGATGTTCCAGCCTGACCAGCGTGAGACTCTTCACCATCTCCCAACGTGAGCACTGACGGGGCAGGAATCAGAGACTAACATTTTGGTCAAGTGATTCTCTTCCATTTCAAATCAATTTACTATAAACTGCTCTTGTTTTCTTTTTCTTTTTTTTTAAATCATTTTATTGGGGACTCATACAACTCATCACAATCCATACATATATCCATTGTGTCAAATACATTTGTATTTGTTGCCCTCATCATTCTCAAAACATTTGCTTTCTACTTGAGCCCTTGATATCAGCTCCACATTTTCCCCTCCCTCCCCACCCGCCTCCCACATGAACCCTTGATAATTTATACATTATTGTTATGTTGTCATGTCTTAAACATGTCAGTCTCCCTTCACCCACTTTTCTGTTGTCCATCCCCCAGGGAGGAGGTTATATGTAGGTCCTTGTAATGGGTTCCCCTTTTTCACTCCACCCTCCCTCCTCTCTCACAACTGGTCCTGAAGGGATCATCTTTCCTGGATTCCCTGTGTTTCCGGTTCCTATCTGTACCAATGTACATCCTCTGGTATAGCTGGATTTGTAAGGTAGAATTGGGATCATGATACTGGGGGAGGGGGGAAGGAAGCATATAAGAACTAGAGGAAAATTGTATGTTTCCTCGTTGCTACACTGCACCCTGACTGGCTCGTCTCCTTCCCGAGACCCTTCTGTGAGGGGATGTCCAGTTGCCGACAGATGGGCTTTGGGTCTCCAATCTACACTCCCCCTCATTCATAATGATATGATTTTTTGTTCTTTGATACCTGATCCCTTCTACACCTCATGATCACAGAGGCCTGTGTGCTTCTTCCATGTGGGCTTTGTTGCTTCTGAGCCAGATGGCCGCTTGTTTACCTTCAAGCCTTTACGACCCCATATGCATATCTTTTAAGTTCACACAGATGTGGTCAAAGTTTAAAGGAATGATGAGAAGTATCACAGTCTCACAGTATGTCGGTGTCCTTTTTAGCAGGTTTCTTACCCCACTAAGCCTCAATTTCCTCATTTGTAAAAGGATGAAGAATTTTTCAGGGGTTTTTGAGAAGTTTGATTAAGACAATCCCTATAAGAATGAAGCCAGATAACCCATGTGAAGTGCATGGCAGGTTAGGTACTCAAAAAACATTAGCTGCAGCTGTAGATAAAGCTAACAACAGATCAGTGTTAGATTCAGATGCCTGTGAACACAAACATGCAAAGACACAGATTACAGATAAATACGAGGGGGCTTCAAAAAGTTCCTGAACACGTGGAATGAAAGGATCATAGGGTTTTTTTCTGTGGACTTTTGGAAGCCCCATGTATGAAGGTTGGTAGGTCGATCCAAACTGAAACTCACTGCCATAGGGTCTGTTCCAACTCATGGCACTTGTAGGACAGGGCAGCCTGGCCCCTTTGGGGGTTTCTGTGGTGATCAAAATTTAGAGGAGCAGAAATTCTCCTCTTTCTCCCTTGGCGCTGGTGCATTTCACCTGCTGGCCTTACAGTGAACAGCCAAGGACACAGACCCTGGAATATGCTCTGTCCCGCTAACAGCAGCCCAGCCACAAAGGATGCCATCTTTCTCCCGAGGCGTTAGAGAAAGTCACCTGGCGGCACAAGCAGGAAACGGTACCAGTGGTCCTCCATGACAGGCCGTCCTCAGGGCTAGGAACCCAGTTATATGGTACCGACACCCCCCACCTCTCGGCAAAAAAAAAAGCCTGTTGTGTGAACAATTTGAGGTTCAAACAATGGTTTATAATAACAAAGGGACACTACTTTGCAACACCCATCAAAACATCATTGTATTGGTATTGGTCTGTTAAAGGTATTATAGCCTATCTGGATGTGTTTTGTTAAATTCTTTTATACTTATGAAATTTTATGACTGCCATTAGGTACAAATCATCCCTAATTAACTTTAGAGAACAAATTCCGCTTACAGGCAAGACAGGAACAGGACTCCTCAGGAGGCCTGCACTGCCCTTGTTTTCACTGTGAAAGACTCTGGCGCCACCTCGTGGCCGCTGAGCACGCTGGTCCCACCCAAGCAACGCCGCTTTCTCGTGGGTTGTTGATTTCCAGTAACTCACCCCAGTCCCAGCCCTAAAACAAACAAGGCTGCTTAGGGCATGTTTTTTTCTCGTTTTTTGGCAATTCTGACTCATGACCACCTCACTAATTGCTCCACAGTAGTTTCTGGCTGTAATCTTTAAGAAAGGTGCGCTCTAGATGTCCAAAGAAGAACTTCTAGGTGAGGTCAACTAGCCTTTCAACTAGCAAATGAGCTTAACCATTGTGTCACCCCTTTTAAAACTAAAAAACAACAACAAAAAAAGAATAGTTTACTTGGTTGGTAATTGGAAGAAGAACCCTATCCTGTCCCCGTTGGAAGCAGTGCATAAACTGTGTTCTATTGTCCATTTCATAGGAACCCTGGTGGTGTAGTAGTTTTGTATTCCGTAGCTAAGGGTAAAGTCAGAAGTTCGAAACCACCAGTGGCTCCATGGGAGAAAGATGATGCTTTCTACTCCTGCCAAGAGTTACAGTCTCAGAAACCCACTGGAGCAGGTCCATCCTGTCCGGTAGGGTCACTATGGGTTGGAATCAACTTGGTGTCAGTGAGTTTGGGGACTGGGGTATTATCCATTTGAGATTCCATGTATCTCTATTTTTACTGAATGAGTTCAATTAGCAATCCTCCCTAAGAAGCTGTTGAGTCGCTGCTGGGCTCTTAAGAATTGTGCAGCTGCCAATCTAAAAGGAAAAATAAATCAGAAAAGAGCTATAATAGAGATGTGTAAGAATTAGGTAGACAGAAATGAGGGCTTTGGCGGAAGCTACCTGGACAACATGACCACCAAACGCATCAAGGAGAGGCCAGATAGCGTGGGCTGAGTGAGAAAATTCAATTCAATAATATTCTTAACTCCAGCTACTAAACTCTCTGCTAATAACTACAGATAAAAAGATGGCCAAGAACACCGCCGTGGCTGAGCCCAGGGCCCGCCAGCCTGAAGTGTCTGCAGCCTGGAACCGCACCTGCCCCGTCCTCCCAGGTGCAGGCCAGACAGGCAGTTGTGGCAGACCAGAGATCCTGAGCAAGCTCTTGTCTTGGCTGGTGATACCGAGCTAAGTCTGTTTCTGAGGACATCCTCAGTGGATGGCAGCAAGATGGTCAACCTGCAGACCTCTCATCCCCTTCCAAGCCCAAACATCAGAATTAAGCCCTGAAAGGAGGGGAAGGGAGGGCGTGGGAAGGAGGGGTGGGGGTGGGTAGAAGGTCCCAGGCATAAGCATGTTGCTAGGGAAAAGGAAAATTTAACTCATAAATAGCCCTTTCATGTTTGGATTGAAGGTAAAAATCTCTTTCATCTCCTCTATGAAAATGTCTTTACTCACGTAAGGCCAAGTTCAAAATATCCACTATTACATTATATTTCCTCTAACCAACCAAATCTCAAATAATTGCTCTATTACTTCTGTGTTTCAGCGCCCTAGTTCTTATTTTATTACTCATTAAGTGATCTTTTATTGTTTTTCAGAGAATTATTCATTTATCTTAGCTACACCCAACCCCCACTACCAAATAAATGTTATATATCTTGAGCAGGGAACAAGTTCACAATTTCTGCAACTTCAAAGTCCCTGTTCTTCATGCCTAGTCAATAGGTTTCCACTCCCATCATTCACGAGTTCATTCATCTCCCTAAACTCACATTTCACCATGTTCTAGATTCCACATATTGCTCCAGAACCTGACTCCATCCATTATTCTTTTTCTTGGGTCTTCAATCTCGCCCTTAAATTTTATTTCCCTCTAGTCTATAAAATAGCCAATATTTCTCATCCTTAAAAATCCAATCTCCATCTACTGCCCAATTTTCTCCTCCCTTCTTATCCAACCTTACTGTAAACATATTCCAAAGTCGTTGTTTCTACACTCTCCTTTCTCACTCCTTCCTCAATGCACCCTCAATAATTATTCTCATAGTTAGCAGAGGCCTTTCCATTGAAAAGCCAATGGATTCTGTATTATATATCTTGCCTGACCTTTTTGTAGCAGTTGACATTATTGACCACTTGCTATTTCTTAAACCTCTAACAGAGGTTTCATTAAATAAGTATTTATCAGCTTCTCACTACATGCTATGTCTCATACTCGGGTGAAGGAGTCAAATGGAAATAAATGGTCTCTACCCTCTACTAGCCAGTCCAGCAGGGAAGACTAAGTGAAAAGTAAGGAGAAGGCAAAAGACAAAGCATCGAGTCTCCTGGTTCTTCTACTAAGCCTTTCCCTGTTCCCTTCCCTAAAACAAAGGGCTCTCGGTGTTTGTTTAATTAAACAAGCTATGCAAGTATGCATCCCTAATATAAGTTAAATGTATACCTATGTGAAAGGGCTTCAAGAGTTCATGGAAAAGGTCCATTGTCTTTTAATTCCATTTATCCATGAGTTTTCTGAAGCCCTCTTGAGGGGCTAATATTTTGAGACAATGAGGTGAGATTTGTCATTAGCTATGGTGGGTCTAGGAGGCCTGGTGATACAATCCTGAAGCATTGAGCTGCTGACTGAAAGGTCAGAGTTTGGAACTCAGCGGCCACTTCAGGGGTTTTGTTCCCTTAAAGCTCACAGCCTAGGTCATCCTGTGAGACAGTTCTACTCTGTCATTCAGCATCACGGAGTCAGAATCAATTCAACAGCACATTAACAGGGTGGGTCTGAGCTGGTTTCCCCTGGATACCTCTTATATCAAGGCACACTAACAGGATGACCATGGGAAAGGACCTCCCATAGGACAGCGTTCATGGTCAGGATGCATGCGCTCAAAATCAAGCTCACTGCCTGAGAGTCCGTTCTGACGCACCACAGCCCTATAGGGCAGGGTAGAAGTCCCGCTTTGGGTTTCTGATGTGGGTTTCTGAGCAGAAAGCCTCATCTTTCTCCTTCAGAGAAGAACTGCAACCGAATTGGCAACCCGGTGTGTTGGCAATCCAGTGTATAACCCAGTGTGTAACCCGCCAGGCCCCCAGCGTCCCTTCAGCATGAGAAAGCGACGGTTTCAATGCTGATCATCAGCCTTCAGCCCTCACCTTCCTATCTTTTACTTTTCATGTGCTCATACTTCTAAATGGCAATCTTATCAGTTTCCAAGAACAGGTTATTTATTGGTCAGATGGAAGTACTCCTGAAGTCTAAGTTACTGTATGTTTCCAATATGTTAGTCCAAAATGACTCGTTCAGTATTAGAAACCAAATCATACTAAAGGGCAATTGTATTTGCATGACCCCTTACCGAAATTTCAGTTCATTGCCAAATATTCTAAATGAGCAGAAATTGTTTGCCATTTAAAATGAGTCAAAAAAGACTCAAGGGCAATGAGTTTGGGTTGAGTGAGTTCTTTTTTTTTTTTTTTAACATTTTATTAGGGGCTCATACAACTGTTATCCCAATCCATACACACATCAATTGTGTAAAGCGCATTTGTACATC